ACTTGGTGTTGTCAGCACCACACTCACCCAGTGAGCAAACCGGCCATCCCTATATGGGATCCGAACCCGTGGCCTTGGTGTTATCAACACCACATTCTCCTGAGTGAACCAGGGGCCGGCCCAAAGTCTACTGTTTTCTTTCTTTTTTTTTTTGGTTTTTTTTTTTTGTTTATGACCGGTAAGGGGATCTTAACCCTTGACTTGGTGTTGTCAGCACCACACTCACCCAGTGAGCAAACCGGCCATCCCTATATGGGATCCGAACCCGTGGCCTTGGTGTTATCAACACCACATTCTCCTGAGTGAACCAGGGGCCGGCCCAAAGTCTACTGTTTTCAGTTGAAGTTTTCTTTTTGGAGGGATCCTCACTACAAGGACTCACAGCAGCAGAACCGACCACCACAAGAGAATACCCGGAGCAACCAGGCTATATTTTCTTCTTTGACCCCGTAGTTTTCTCAGAGAAAAGCCGTCATCACTTAATGAGTAGTAACTTGTTAGGGAGATACAGTAAAGTGTCACATAACACATGGGGAAAGGGGACCAGAGAAAAGTGGAGGAAAGAATAAGAAAGGATCTGAGTTGTTTCCCATAAAGTATGTGCGTGTGTGAGATTTCCTGGTGACGTGTCCCTGCACTGAAGGAGCAGGTCCCCCCCCCATGTTTCAGAGCACCAGTTCCAGCACCTCAGGATGCCTGAGATTAAACCCTGCTTCCAACACAACACCAGAGTGACTTCGTCTTGTCATCCAGTTTCCTCATCTATAAAATGGGGACGATTGTTGGGAAAATACAGGAAAATGGTCAGAGCCGCTCAGATGTTCAGAATCTTGCCAAGCATTTGATGTAAATATGCACGTACACCCAGGTGTTCCTTAGCTATTGACTAATATAATTGTGTATGTGCACCCAAGTGTCCTGGGTTATGACTTAAGTATAAAGGACGAGTGGCTCTGATCCATGGGGCCCCTTGCACCCAGGATGCCACCAGGGGTGCCACAGGGAGGTTGCTATGGCTACTGGAGGTGACTGTTGCAAGCTTTTGCTGCCAGTGCCCCCAGGATGCCCAGAGAGGCCACCACTGCTGCTGCTTCTGCTGCTACTGCTGCTGCTGAGGACTGAGCTCATGTCATCTGCTAATGGCTCCCGGGATCTTTCCCAACTACTTAGCGTTGACCTGCGTGTGAGACTTCTAGTGATCCAGCCTGGCATGTGAGGGGTCTGATGACCCAGTCTGTACAATGGGTTTGAAGGGTCTGATGAATACAATACAAATGAAAAACTTAGCGTAACCAAAATAATGAAACATTTGGCTTTAGTTATGAATTGCCTAGCCATACAGTTGGCATAGCAATGGCCCTAACCCGACAAGTGGCATAGTCACATAGCTATACAATGATAAAAGCAGCTACTTCACAGAGTTGCTGAAGGATTAAGTGAGGTAATGCGTGACTTACAATTTTGAGTGTCTGACACAGAGTTTGAACTCAGGCTCATATGCCTATTGCCCCTCATTTGCAAATCAATTTAGAACCAGCTGTGGAATGGTCATTTGCCTTCTCTGTGCATCTGATACGTAAATCTCCTCTGAAAGCTCTTACCGTGAAAAGACCTCCCCACACTAAGATTGTATTCAGCCCTAAGCACGTCCCAGCTGTTCCCTGAACCAAATATCTCTACAAGGTTCCAGAACCGAAAATGTCTTATGTTATTAACAGGTTGATAAAAAATAAACTACTTGAAGAATCATACTTGACTGCTATTAATAGTTTAAACATTCAAAACTAGATTTGAGTTTCTAGAATAAAGTCAGCCTCTGTACTCTACAAAGTTTTTAGACTCTACTTTAAATTTATTTCCCCTATGAAAGAGTCTTTCATCATAGCGCAATCTAAAAGTCTCACCACCACACAAGTACATATGAAAATTCTAAGAGGAAAGGCCAGATTAGTCATAGGGCGGGGGAAAAAAGGTCCAGGCCAATATCTGAAAAATACAAAGATAATGTAAAGCTATTTAAAAATAGCATTTCTAGGGCCGGCCCAGTGGCGCACTACTACAGTGCGCCGCTTGGGAGCGCAGCAGCGCTCCTGCCGAGGGTTCGGATCCCACATACAGACCGGTTCCCGCTCACTGGCTGAGCGAGGTGCGGGCGCAGCGCCGAGGGTTGCGATCCCGTTGCCGGTCCCGGTCTGGTACGGGAGCGACACTGAGGGTTGCGGTCCGTTGCCGGTCACGAAAAAAGACAAAAAGGAAAAAAAAAATAGCATTTCTATTAAAGATCTGAACATCCTGTATGATTTGGACCATCCACCATACAAGAGCAAGGAACTAATAATAAAGTGAGAACATGACAGGCTTTCGGCATGGAATCCCTGTATTAGTCCATTTCTGTTGCTTATAACAAAATACCTGAGACTGAGTAATTTATAAAGAAAAATGAAATTTATTGCTTACAGTTCCTGAGGATGGGAAGTCCAAAGTCCATCTAATGGTGGTAACAGTGACCAGGGGTCTCATACTACAAGATGGTGGAAGCGAGAGAGCAGAGACAGACTCTACTCTCTCTCCTTTTAACGCCCTCAGAACCACGCCCCTGGCCACCATTTTTAATCCATTCACTACTAAACAGTCCTACAATCCAATCCTCTCTTTCAGTTACCATAATAGGATTTCCCACCCTCTTAACAGTCACAGTGGAGGCTAAGTTTCTAACGCATAAAATTTGGGGGACACAATTCAAGCTTCAAGGAGTTTTGGGGGGGACGTAATTCAATGCACTAAAATCCCCCAGCCAATGTATAATGATTCTCGCTCTCAGACTTCCCACAAATGAAATCATCCTCAAGGAAATGTCACTACAAATAATCTTCTTGACACCAGATTATCATTAATGAGTTTCAGAATCTACTGAAGTGAGAGAGATATATTGCAGCTGCATGAAAATGAAAAGCCAATACACAGTTGGCTTTTAAAAAGTTTTGAAAACATACCATTGAAAATGACACAGTAACAGACTTCCAGTGTGTGCAGAGATAATATGCCTGCAAGATATGACAGGAGCTCGGGAGCCCCAGACGTGGAAAAAATACGTCACTCAGCAAATGTAAGACAGATTTGTTTATTTAAAAAAGCATGTCTGTACTTCAATAAAAGTAGAATAATTAGGATGAACCTTGAGCCTACGGGACTACACCCTCTCAGAAAAGAATTTCCCTATTTCCACCAGAGGACAGTGATTCAGCTCTACTTGCAAAAGGTTTCTCCCTCCTACTTTATCTACAGAAAAACTGAAAGGGAGACACTGAGCTAATTCTGAAACAGGTACTAATACTTTTCAAGATGTTAATAGGCACTCATTTATTTTAGAGTTTCCCAGATTTCTTCCAGATAAAGGTATAATTTGAGGGATTTAATCTAATAAATGCAATACAAAACAATCTGTAATTCTCTCACTGACTGGCCTCATCAAAATATGAAGATAAACCACGAAACCCCTTTAGATGATGGTCAAGTGTCCCAAGAGTTAATGAGCAACATTTTTACCATGAATTCACCATAGCAAATATCTATGATCCGGAGAGCTTAATTGCCCTTACTTAATTT